TAAATTATGTCATAACTTTTAATTTCTCCCACAAAAATTATTTTTTGCAGAATTTTTAATTCATTTTTGAATTCAGAACCATTTTTAAGTATAAAATTATTAAAAAAAACAGTAACAGTCAAAATGACCGCTTTGGGCGTTCTAGTGTTAAAGTTATTTCTAATTTGTTCTCTTTGGAATAGATTAGCCATTCGAATGATAAATACACCAATGTCTCGATCGGACGGAATCGTATCCCGGTTGGACGTACAAGTGTCAAATATAATGCTGCAGTAATTACATGAAATTGCATAGCATGCCTCTATTGCTCATATGAAAATATTCTTTAGAATATATCAATAATATCAATGACAATGGGGAGCGAAAGCGAACGGGATCATAGCCGGATTGGACACACAAGAGGCAAATATAATGTTGCAGTAATTACATGAAATTGCATGGCATGCTTCTATTGCTGATATAAAAATATTCTTTAGGATATATCAACAACATCAATGGCAATGAGGACAAAAATCATATTTGGCGCTTTATTAGTATTACTTTTTGCTATCGCAGTAATTATACCGATTTTAGTTGTTTATCTGTTACCCGCCGGTAACTTAACAAGTAAGAACTTTATTGATTTCAATTGTAACGAGAATTGAAAGATGATGATGAATTTAAGGGCCCGCCGCCCTCTCAGAAATGGTGATTTTCGGTCGAAAAACCGGTTTTGAGATAAGCACATGGAAAGATAACCTGAAGTGTCTACTTCCAGAATCTGTGTTGCTTTTGGTTACAAAACTGGTTTTTCGGAGATTTTGACCAAATTTTCTAAGTGCCTCGAAAAAACGGATCTTCAAATAATGACTTTTTCCTGGATACTTATGCAATTAAATTTTCCTGAACACATAGCTTTGCAGAGCAAACGTTTCTGATCAAAATAAGACCTCACACAACTCTGTATGACCTTGCAGCAACAAGTTACAGGCATTTTCCTTGAAGTCCTAAAATTGAGCATTTTATACGGCGTTTTCTCTAATGGAAGTTATAGCTGAAGTGTTTCCCAAGATTTCTAATAGCGGTTTGTCGTAGAGACTTTATTCTTTTTTTGCTTAAAAGAGGAAAAGAAACTAAATCAACTGACAAGCGCCGATTTTTGAGATTTAGGTCCTATTTTCTTGTCCAATAAAGGATTTTTAGAAAATTCGGAAGGCTTTTTCGGGTTTTGGAGATTGTTGGTTGCCTGGAAAACCAGTAAAGGCTTAATTAAAAAATCGGCTCCTGTCAGCCCATGTAGTTAGGTGTCTAGTTTAAAATAAAACAAGCCCGAACTGTCCAACTAGAAGTATATTAAAAAGTCTTGGGACACACTTCAGGGTCATGTTTGAACCTTGATCTGTGGAAAACTCCTGAACGGTAAGACTTGGAGACAAAAAAAGTTTTTCATTCCCGTAACTCATTGTGCCTAACATTTTTGGAAAGTTTCGACAAGATCGGATGTACGATGTCGGAGATAATTTCTGAGGGGGGACCTTAAGGGTTTTAAAGTTTCTATGGGGTGAATTGTTTATATTTTTTGTCAAGTAAAGATATTGAAAACTATTTATCTCTACTTAAATAGAAACAGCTTTCCCGTTTCAGACGGAAATCTTTTACCACATATGCCTACTTTCCAGAGCTCCAAAGAGTTTTGTGATGAAAACATATTCGCACTCATACAAAGCATCTAAAATAAATTGTGAATCGAGCTCTTCCAGTTAGCAGTAGAAGAAACATGAAAAAGAATCGTGAATTGGGCTGTTGTAATTACTTGCACCTAATTTACACTAGATTTACACTAGGTTCGCCGGTGGGGAGCTTAACCATCAAATGTACTGGTCTATAAATACCAAATCTAGTCCAGTAATGCAAATTATATCTCTAACAGGTGTATAGGTTTATTAGAGATTAAATAGAGATAAGGCTAGTTGACATATGAAAGAGACTTCTGTAATAGCAGATGTACAAAAAACATTATAACGGATGGGACAGAAATAAAACTGGGCCACTTTTGCTCTCTTTTTTCGGGGGTAACTAAGGCTCTAAGATTCTAAGTTCACTCGATTGCAAATTTTCCACCCTTTGAAATCCTGTATATCCGATAATCACACATTGTTTTATTATTCGAGAAAATAACGCAGAGTGAGGACGGCTAAGTAGCATATCTTCGATGGAATGAAAAGTCTGTTATCATATTTAGTAATTTTACAACCACTTGTTTTGTTACTAGAGACTCAGACAGAATTAATTTCTAAAAGAATCAAAAGAAGACATCACGAGCGGTTGCGACCTTTCTCAAGCGTCTCGTCAGGTCGTTTCCTTCGAGAAAGACAGAGTTAAGGCACGACAAGCGATGCAAACTCCGTCCACACACACCGTATGAAGGTGTCCCTTGTTCCTATCGAACAAAGAACGATAAGTTTCACACGACGAGAGCGAAGCACGATACCACTGTACAATACAAATGTTCTGGTTCTCTACATTAAGTATTTCTTTTCATTCTATCAGAAATGATTCATCCTTTTAAACTTAACCTGTATCTGCTACTTCTGGAAGTTTTATACGATTCAGAGGAAGCCATGCAAAGTCTGGTACGCTTTCGAAATAATCATTCGTGTGTGTTTCTGTCATTAACTATGGAAACATCAGCTGTTCAGAAATTACTGAAATAAACTCAAAAATTGAACTTACTTCAATAAAAATCAACTAATGAGCAAGAAATATACAGAACAAAGACTACAACATCCCTCACATCAATCATAGGAGAAGAAGGTATTTAAAGTTACAGTACAATCTTACTCTAAACTACCTTACCGACGAATTACTGAATATTCTGTAATGAAATTATCTTACTTTAGTATAAAATTATCTTCCTTGAGTTTAATACTTGGAGTTTTATGTATGATTTTCTATTAACTGTCATTTCAGGAGGTTTATAAGCTATAGTTATGAGCTTTTTGTCTCCTCTTCTATATCAAGCAGCGGACGCATGCCTCACGCAGATATTTGTTTCTAGCATTTGAGACTTGAGGCTTTTTCTTTTTACAGAAAATTTACATGATTACAGCTTATGAACGAAAACGCTTTACATAAATATAATGAATTGTCTGCAATAGTAATAACAAAAATCTGACTTTCAATACTAGCTTTACGAGAAAAGTATATATAGCGTTATTTCTCTAGAAAAACTAGAATGATATATAGATCCAAGAAAGTACAACTTAATATTTTAAGTTCAGCATTAGACATATTACCTGATAACTATGACTCTTGTAGCAAACGACCTGAACTTGTTTTTATTTCCATTTATCATTTGTTTTATTTTTGTTTCATTTGTTTGTCAATAGACATTAGCATTGACATAAAAAGTGATTTTAATTTGATATTAAACAAAACTACATTCAATAAATAAATTGTGCTCATGTTCAACTCCAAAAAAGGATACATATGTGATAGCAGAGTACAGTTATATAAGTAGATGTGTACACATACTATAAAGAAGTATATTTCCATTTAGAGTTATACTTTGACAACTGTTCATCATGTAGATTGTTAGCATAATGCACAACCTCCTGAAATGTCATTTCATTGAGAGATGTGTGGACAAAGTGTCTAAAGACGAATTGACGAATCGCAACTTTTAAGCGTAAAAATGATGCAACAATTCGCGTTTTACCCTTATTTTGCGAATTCATATCGAATTGATGCGAACTGTCGCGAGTTCGTACGGACACTCTTAAAAACTTTTACGAATTCGCAAGAAGAATTCGTAAACAGAGAATAGATCAAACACGATGCTGATCAATTCGCAAATAATTCGTAAAATTAGTTTACGAATTCGTGTTCACTGTTTTTGGAACTAGATTGATTCGTAAATACGAATTAGCGAATTCGTATTACGAACCGATCCGGCTGAAAATGGATCCACGAATTAACAAACCCATTCTGCAAATTCATTGCGAATCGATGTGTACGCTTACTAGGCTACGTAGGGACAGGACACTTTTCTGTGAGGTTAAAAATAGATAGATTCGTCTCTTCTCATACCAATTCGCCGTTATTCTTACGAATTCGTAAAATACGGCACGTTGTGTAAATATTCACAGCCATCCTCACTCCCTTCCGCTCGGCACATGCACACAAAAGGGAGAGAGATTCCCCTCTGTTTTGTTTCGCACAGACACATGTATTAATATACAACCGATCAATTCGTATTCTACGAATTCGTAAAAATAACGGCGAAGTGCGGTGAGAAGTATGCGAATCGATGAGAGGAGACGAATCTATCTATTTTTAACCTCAGAGAAAAGTGTCCTGTTTCTGACATCAATTCGTATTTTACGAATTCTATTTATGAATTCGTCGGTTATGCTTTGGCATCTATGAATTCGTAAATAGAATTCGTAAATTCGCTTTTTATCGTAGTTTTGCCAATTTACGAATTCGTACACGAATTCCTGGGGACCAAAATGATCATTTTACGAATTCGTCGATGGTCGACCAATTCGATTTACGAATTCGTAGGTACTGGAAATTTCTTTCTTACGAATTCGTCCTAATTTACGAATTGGCCAAAGGAAGAAAAGACGCAATTTTTTGGTTCGTTTTTGATCATTTTTGTTAATTCGCATCACTTCGCATTGAATTACGAATTCGCAAAACGATGGTAAAATGCGAGTTGTTGCATCATTTTTACGCCAAAAATTTCCAATCCGCAAATTCGTCTTTAGACACTTTGTCCACACTAATGTTCATTGACAGTTAGTCCTATGACACCCACAAGATATGAACGTTAAGTACAGTAGCAAAATAAGTAAGATGTACAAAATCAAGCAAAACATAATTGTCATATGCTATTGACACACTCAGCAAAAATTGTTTCTGTTTCGCAGATAGGTTGTTTTCAGTTCACATAGGAATCAAGTTCCATGTTTATTATATTCATATATTTCTTTTCAGGATGGACATATACTGGCAACATGAGTACTGAACGAAACTCCCATACAATATCAGTGTTAGCAAACGGAAAAGTGTTGGTTGCTGGTGGGCATAACAGCGGTGGCTATCTAAATAGTGCGGAGTTGTATGATCCATCAACAGGAATTTGGACAAATACTGGTAACATGAATACTGCACGATACTTACATAGAGCATCAGTGTTAGCAAATGGGCAAGTGTTGGTTGCTGGTGGATACAATGGTATTTTTTTAAATAATCCCGAGCTGTATGATCCATCAACAGGAATTTGGACAAATACTAGTAACATGAATACTGCACGATACTCTCAAACAGCATCCGTGTTAGCAAACGGACAAGTGTTGATTGCTGGTGGTGGATACAATGGTATTTTTTTAAATAATCCCGAGCTGTATGATCCATCAACAGGAATTTGGACAAATACTGGTCACATGAGTACTGTACGATACTACCATACAGCATCAGTGTTAGCAAATGGGAAAGTGTTGGTTGCTGGTGGATTGAACAGCAGTGATTATCTAAATAGTGCGGAGTTGTATGATCCATCAACAGGATTTTGGACAAATACTGGTAACATGAATACTGCACGAGAATTCCATACAGCGTCAGTATTAGCAAATGGGAAAGTGTTGGTTGCTGGTGGAGAGAATAGCAATGGCTATCTGAATAGTGCGGAGCTATATGATCCGTCAACAGGAATTTGGACAAATACTGGTAACATGAATACTGCACGAGAATTCCATACAGCATCAGTGTTAGCAAATGGAAAAGTGTTGGTTGCTGGTGGATTCAATGCTAGTGTTCTAATACCCGAGCTGTATGATCCATCAACAGGAATTTGGACAAATACTGTTGACATGAATACTTTACGATACTTACATACAGCATCAGTGTTAGCAAATGGAAACGTGTTGGTTGCTGGTGGAGCGAATGGCGGTGTCTATCTAAATAGTGCGGAGTTGTATTCGCCATAAGGAATAGTGAATTTTTTGTGTGCAGATGAAATTGACCTTGTTTTTTGGTTTTCGGCATCACCATGCTTACACATAAGCAGCATTGTTCTGTACTATATTTTTCCAGAAAAGAGATGACTTAAACTCTCCATTTTCATAGGATGTATCTCACAAGTCTGAAAGACAGGTTTGGTACTTTATTTACCATATAGCCACCTCCCTTAGGTATGCACCAGTACCAACAAGTATACCGGGTTTACTGACCAGTTTTTACTGGATACCCAAATATTCGGGTATTCACTAAACAGGGCAGTCAAGCTTGCAAGCATTTTTGGACCACAACATTCGTGCCTTAAACTTTAAGGTGTTCGTTAAACTATGAAACTCTTAAGTTTAGGATGAATCACATTACTACACAATATAAATCATGAAATTCCAGCGACAATTACATAGTTTAAATGGATTTCTACTCCAGTTATCTTCGGCGAAAAAAAACCATTTTGTTCAAATGTCCAGAATTTCTTTAGTTTTATAAATTTTTTGTACCTAAAGAATTGTGCATGATTACTTGATATGTATAATCACCTTTTAAAGCAAATATTTCATTTAAGACACGCTGACTTTATATACAAAACATGTAGCATTTCAATGCCTAATGGAAGAAGATCACAAACTTCTTCGTCAACTATATCCCATTCGATACCATTTTGTTCGCAGATAACGAATATATTAGTATTTTATCAAACAAAGTTGAGCACAGAATAACGAAGAACTTTTTTTGTAGTAAGTGTCCGTTTTAGGAATATGACGGGGCTAACTTGTGATCCTCCCCAAACAGTCTGTTAGTACATTTTAAAAATTCTTGTTATGTCTGTCTTATGGAGAATTATTCCCTCTATAAAATACACAAATAAAATTTCGCGGATGTGTATACAGTAGTTCAAAAATTACAAATTACATGAAAAAACCATGTTTTTCAAAAACACATTTTTTCAGTATTTTCGATCTTCGAAGCGAACTATCGACTAACGCACCCTGTTTTTGTTTGCATGTTATGACTTTTCTCATCCCACTGATAAACGTTCTCTTATATTTCAAATCAAATAATCAGTTTTACTGCATTATGAAGATTTTTTCTTTTCAACGAAAGGAAAACGATACACTAAAAATTTTCCTGATTTTCTCACAAGTTAACTAATTAAACTAGCCTTAATTAAAACGGCACCCTTTCTCCAGTTTTTAACAAATGTAAAATAGTCGACTCGGACTTTAAGATAGATTATTTTTCCGAAAAGAAATACTGCCTAGTTTTTGAGTTATCTGATGATTGTTTGACAAAAACAAAGCACTTTTTTCTTCTCGAACAGAATATTCACAAATTAAATATTAATGGTAAAGTTCTAGAAGAAGTTTGTTCAACGAAAATCGCTTTTCGGCTTTCTCTTCGAGCCATGGTAGGCAAGTCTTTGAAATTAATTGTTCGCTAGGAGAGCTAAATGAAAAGGCCAATCATTTGAGTAGAGTTCATGTATCGTTATATGTGAAATGTTCTATTTAAATTTGGCATTTAAGCTCGATATTTTCGTTTCTTCTTTCTGTTTCTTTCGCCTTACCATATTCTGTTTTTTCTTAACCCACCCAAGTCCACTGTCTTATCACATGTCGCTTAAAAAGTTCGCAATCAATGACAAAAATCAATGACTCTCTAGTATTTTGCTATAGTTACTATTTATTCGCGTTTTCCGTCTAATATCAGTAAATGAGCCACGCTACTTTTACCGCGAACGAATGGAGTACGCGTGAGGCGACTACGCAAGACTATATTAGTAATGTCGTAAGCTATTATTAAGATGTGATAAGATTTTGAAAACGTTTCGAAAAATCAGTAAGAGTTATATACCAGGCGCTCAAGCAAGACAAAATGGTGAATAGGATTTGTATGGGAGACGCGCCGCGACGCTGTATCATGTCGCCATTGTAAGAGAAAAATGCGACCGCGACGTGACAGTTTTTTCTCACAGAGATCCCCAAATCGCATTGCGATCGCTAAAAGGTCACTGTTGTCGCGTCACGATCTCGAATTACGAACTTTTTGTAAAATAAGCGTTTGTCGGGATCGAGCCGCGACACAACTTCTTAGCGATCGCGGCGCGACTTCGCCATCTGAGCTCGATCACTGCACGAAAACTGCCGATAGCGGCGTGAGTTGCGCGAACCGCGTTGACACCGCGAATCAAGGAATAAAGTGGACTTGGGCATAGTTCAACTTAGGACTTCGAATATGCCACTTAATTTTCTTCTATCTCAATTCCGTCGATTTTATTATTTTATTTATGGTAGTTATAAAGATATAAGAACGTTTCCGTTTTAATGAACGAAATGAAAAAGAATCAGTTTTGCTATTTTAGCGTGAATTTAGTTTTCTACCTTTTTCCGTCTCACTGTGAATTTAATACATAATCCGTTTACTTGATCAGTTAATATTGCATCAAGTCCAGAGTACTTACTTGCCTGTTTTACTCTAACTTCAAGTAAACAAGTTACACATTATGCTGAACTAGTTTCCAGAAAATAATCGCTTGAATGAGAGGATTTTTTACTTTCACTATCTTCTCTAATATTGAAGCTAAGTTCGCAAGAGTTGGGTCTTAGAGGTTTCCGAGCATGCTGAATCTAATGGCATTATCAGTTTCCTCGGTCGCCATACTTCATAATGAGATTCCAGAAAATCGATTTTTCAGCGATGAGGTTTTACGGGGCACTTTTTTCTCAGAACAGTCTTAGACATCGAAGTCAAACAACCATGTAGGTCTTGTAGAGCGTATTTTTTTTCATCGAGAAATTATTGTGGAAAAATTTTGTGTTATCTCAGGCCGCTTCTGCAAACG